TGAGACAGTCTTACTTTGTTGCCCTCAGTAGAGTGATACGGCGTCACAGCTCACAGCAACCTTAACTCTTGGGCTCAAGCGATTCTCTTACCTCAGCCTCCCACGTAGCTGGGACTACAGGTGCCCACCACAATGCCTGGCTATTTTTACAGATGATGTTTTGCTCTGGCTTAGGCTGGTCTCAAACCTATGAGCTCAGGCAGTCCACCTACCTGGGCCTCCCAGAGTGCTAGGATTACAGGCGTGAGCCACTGCGCCTGGCCAGCCCCTAAAATCATGATTGTAACAGGTCCCTAACTCCCCTGAAGGAAGTTCACAGGTAATATCATCCTACCTACACACCCAATTTTACTTATTTTTACTTATTTATTTTTTCTGAGACAGGATCTTGCTCTGTCTCCCCACCCCCACCCCTGCTGGAGTGCAGTGGCACAATCAAAGCTCTATTTTATAAAAGAACAAGAAAGGAATTTATAATGAAATAATGGGAAATGCTGAGTCCAAGGCCTTCAGACCACTTGGGCATTGGGAGCACAGGCAGTTGTTTGGATGTAGGATCCCAGGGACTGTCACAGCCCCAAATGCCTCCAGGCTCCAGGGGGTTGGTTTTCCAAGCTGGGATCTAACTCTTGGTCAATTTTCAAGTGGAACCAAATTCCTCTGCTATGGTGCACCTGCTTTGCTAGAAGTTCCATGTTAGTGGTCTCAAGGGAGTCTCCTGCCTACACCTCTCAAGTAGCTGGGACTACAGGCACCCGCCACAGTGCCCGGCTACCTTTTGGTTGCAGCCATCATTGTTGTTTAGCGGCCCGGGCTGGATAAGAACCCACCAGCTCAGGTGTATGTGGCTGGCGCCTTAGCCACTTGAGCCACAGGCGTCAAGCCAACATTTATCTTTTTTCATGTTAAGGCTCCTCCTTTGGTCCCCTAAGTTCCTCAGCATCTGCCCTAGACAGTCTCAGGGTTGAGGCCCACCTGGTCCACCCTACTTCCTGGCACCCCTGGGAGGGAGGAAAGGCTTAATGATGATGTCAAGGGAAAAATCCAAATTTTAAAATAATTTAAAGAGGTTTATTCTGAATTGGGGACAAACTCTGAAGGGGTCTTGAGAAAATGTGCTTAAGGTGGCAGGATTACAGTTTGATTTTATACATTCTTGGAGACAGAAATTAATTACAGGTAAAATCATGAATCAATATATGGAAGGTATACATTGATTTTCCAGAAAAGGCTGGACATCTTCAAGTGGAGCTTACAGAGCATGGGTGGGTGTTAGGGATTTTTTACTTGGGAACTAGTTGAAAGGGTTAAGCTTTGTTTGGCTAGGCAAGGGCAAGGTGGCTCAGGCCTGTAATCCTAGCACTTTGAGAGGCCAAGGCAGGAGGATCACTTAAACTCAGGAGTTCAAGGCCAGCCTGACCCTGTCTCTACTAAAAGTATAAAAATTAACCAGGGGTGGTGGCATGTGCCTGCAGTCTTAGTAGCTACTCAGATCAGCTGAACCCCAGAGATTGAAGTGAGCTTTGATGATGGCACTGCCCTCTAGCCTGCATTGTATTAAGATAATGAGTCTTCTCTCCCTCATGCAATATTGTACTGGAATTAGGTTGGAAAGTAAACCACATTATATTGAACTAATAAATCTATTTAGTGAGGCTTTACCCATTGTAGGTATGACTCACAAGGCCTCTTAGAAAGGAATTTTAGGTTTGGCGCCTATGGCTCAAGCGGCTAAGGCGCCAGCCACATACACCTGAGCTGGCAGGTTCAAATCCAGCCCAGGCCCACCACACAACAATGATGGCTGCAACCAAAGGAAAAAAAAAGCC